GTTACAGGCCAGGAGGCGGTTGTCCTGCTCGCCGCCCTGGGCCCAAGCTGCTCATATTCAGCTGCCTGTCAACTACCTCCCCAGCTCCTTTTCCACGAGCAGCTTCCCAGCCACTCTGCCCCAAGCCTGGAGCGTTGCTGATAAATCATGGAAAGTGGCTCAGGGAGCACTTCCACCAGCTCCCTCAGCACCCCTGGGTGAATCCCACCTGGCCCCATAGACCTGCGCATATCTAAGAGGTGTAGCAGGTCACTGACCATTTCCCAACCATGTCATAGTTTTCCTGCTGCACAGTGGCTTCCGGCTCCTGTTTGTTGCCCAAGATGCATGCATTGGTGTAGACCGTCAGATGTCCAATCCTTGGAGCTGTACTATGGGGATAAACAGACCCTTCCTGCCTCACCAGGATAAATTAGAGACAACTACACAACAGGACAAAGTGCTTTAACCTCTGCTATTGGAGGTGCTGCTGGTGTGCAAGCTGCGTGAGGCCATGAACGCCCTGCCCACAGCCTGCGGCTCTCTCTAATTACCTTTGCAACCTTTGGAAAAGCTCTGGAGCAGGGAGCCTCGCAATCTGAACAAGCCGAGGGTGCATTTGACTTACTTCATGATAATGATGTAGATGACGTACATCAGCACCAAGACTAAGGACTCCCACCTGCAAACAAGAGCGACACAGGAAACCCATCAGAGCAGGGCACAGCAGTCAGCTGCCCAAGTTCAGCCACTCCCCCATCTGTCACACGACAAATGTGTGCAAAGGCGTGACCCTCTTGGGCTGTCTTAACACACCTCTAGAAAAGGGGATATGTAAGGAGATGGCTCACACACACCCATGTGACGCCTCCTTTGTCTTCTTGACTTCTGCTCTAGTTTTACTTGGCCAAGTCAACCTGTCAGCTAAGAACAAGTGACTCAACCCAGAAGTTCAGTGAACAAATCACACACCTGAGGAACACAGACATTTCTGTAAGGACAATACCTGTGGGGGCTGCGGCAGAGAGAGGGGAGAAGCTGTCCTGCCCTGCCTGCATGGGTGTAAAGCAGGTTGTTGGGCTTTTGGAGCATGCTAAAACACATTGATCATGCTGAGACAAAGTGAACAAGGGCTGGTTGTTCTTTCACTACTGCTGCTGTGTAACCACTAAGAATGCAGCAGGCAGCAGTTTAAACTGATGATTAGATATTGGTGGGGTTTTCTCTGTGTCAAACTAACGAAATTTACATGAAAACAAAATACAATATGACTTTTAGAACTTGTTTCTAGGTAATCTTTTCCATTGACCAAAATGCTGTATTCTGTACAGTTCCCTATGGCAAACTGCTGGTCCTTGTGGAAATCATCCATTATCAGACTGCTATATACTAAAACTCACTCTTTATGGATTTTGAGACATTGCACTAACCACATCAATATCTCATTCCCTGTTCCTGGCAGTTCAACATCCAGCTTCCACATTGATATGCTTTAGTTGAAGGGCATAGTCAACTACAATTGGGCCTCGAGTCAATTTTAGTTAAAAAAAAAAGCAAAACAAAGCAAAAAAACCCAAGCCATTGCAAAACTCTGCTTCAGAAATCCTCCTCTGAAATGAAACATAATCCCTGGTGAGAACAAGTTTAAGAAAACATGCAATCCCAAAAGCCTGACTCCCTCTAGTGCTTGTAATCTAAGTAATACTGGCTGTCAGTGAAATCAAAGCTGCCACTGACACTCTACAAACCCTTAGAGGTGCTGCAAGCAAAACAACTGAAAGTACACTTTTGAAAGTGTTTGAAGCCCTCCTAGCCCACCATCCCTACTGTAGAACATTTAAGCACATTCATGGGGATATTAACATATATATTTCTTTATTTAAACTGACCATTTGCTCGTCAATATTGCCTTTGGAGCTTTTTCTTTAAAAAAAAAAAAAATTATTAAAAATCCATCTATCAGAACACACATCTATTGACTGCTTGGGCAGCCCTGTGCATTCCCAGGTGGCTGACATCCATGGCACACTGGCACCTAAGCATCAGCCTCTGCATCCCTGGGCTGCTGTAAGGTGGGCAGAGGGCACCGACTGCTGCCACTGTACTGGGAATTCTGAGTGACGTGCTCCCAGGCTTTCCTCTCTGGCTCAGAAAATGAATTATTCTGGCCCATCCTGTGCTGAGGTTTCTCATGCAGCAGGAAACCACTTCCTGAATCACCCTGCAGAACTTCTTAACTTCCCCCTCCTCTCCTGATGAGCCCTACTTATTGCAGGCTTTTGTTGTACAAACAGAAATATTAGAAGAAAAGGGATTCACTTACCAGGAAACCTTTTCGTCATAAATAAACTGTGGAGAAAAGGTTTAAGAACAGGCATGTTATATACAAAATCACAGCTGAAAACAGCTCATCACCTGAGCAGGGGCAGAGCAATAAAGGGCTCAAGGCAATGGGATTATGCTCTGGTCTGGTTTGGTACTGCCCTCCTGCCCAACCCTTAGCTTCTCTCACCTAGCAAAGGCAGGCAGGTTCTCCTTCCCAAATCCCAGGGGGTCCTTGTGGAACTGGGGCTATTGCAGCAGTGAAGCAGAAGTGAGTCAGGGAAGAGCTGCACCTGCTTCTGAATCACCGGCTGCTCTCACCAACACGAGCTCTTACCCTGACCTGCTCCCAGTGGTGACTGGGCCCTCAGCACACAAATGTACTGGCGGCTCCAGAGAGGAATTTCCTGCAGAGCCCACGATCCTCACGCTGCCCGACCCCTGCCCCGCGCTCCTCACGCTGCCCGACAACTGCGATAGGCACTGTGGCACGTGTGCGACAGGTGGTGATGCTTTTGGAACAACTCTGCACGGGACTAGCTGGGGAAGGAACGAGTCTCTTCCTGCATGTGTGGATGCTGTGTGTCAGGGCAGACACAACCCTGACAGCACGGTGAGGGGGTCTGCCCCACCACGCCTGGTTCCCAGGGTCTGCAGAACCAGATACTGGGAGGTGACCGGCAGGTGGCCACAGTGCTCCACAGCTGGGCCCTTCCCATCCATGCTCCACCACCAAAACTGGCCATGCTGGGAGCAGTGGGGCTGCCACCCTCTCTTCCTGGCAGCACCGCTCTGCCTCCACTCCTCCTTCCACCTCAGACGGACGTAGACTCATAGAACAGAATCATGGAATCGTTTGGGTTGAAGGAACCCTAAAGCTCATCCAGTTCCAACCCCTGCCACGGGCAGGGACACCTTCCACTAGAGCAGGTTGCTCCAAGCCCCTGTGTCCAACCTGGCCTTGAACACTGCCAGGGATGGGGCAGCCACAGCTCCTCTGGGCACCCTGTGCCAGCGCCTCAGCACCCTCACAGGGAAGAGCTTTTGCCTCAGAGCTCATCTCAATCTCCCCTCAGGCAGGTTAAAGCCATTCCCCTTGTCCTGGGATTCTATGATTCTATGAAAGAGAATGAGCCTTTGAAAGCACAGTGAAACATTTCCATTCAGCTCTATAGCCTGTAAATAGCAACTTCTGTGTGACAGTCAGCACCAAGCAATACTTACATTGATCACTGGAAGAAAACATGAGCACAAAATGTTGTAAATTACAGCTCCCAGTCACCCTGATCTAATCTGACAATGCTTGTTTTGGGTTACACTCTGCTGGTATGATGGGACATGAAAGCATGTGCATTGACCTTTGTAATTATAAATAGCACCCATCACGCTTTTGTCCCTAATGACTCTGACCACGTCCCTTCATGTTAAGATACATGGGCATCTTTTTCCTTTCAAGGGAAGCAAGGAGTAACAGTTCTCCAAGCTCTACAAGAAGACAAGGCAGCGTTGCAATATTGGTTTTAGGTTAAAAAGAAAAAAAAAAGTCACAGGGCTGACTCAAGGTGAGGTAAGTGTGGAGGGGGAGGCTTACCCACGTCTCACCTCTGTGATTTAGAGTTCACTCATTCTTGTCCAACAGCCTGGAGCACAAACCAGGTGAATTTGTACTGCTCTGCTATTTATTACTATAGCATTGCAATTCCTTCACCAGGGAAAATGGAAGGCGACAAAGTCACACTGATTTACCCAGTGGAATATCAAGCTTTTTAAAGTTGCTGAACCTCAACATTGGCTGGAATGTATTTATTTATTTCCCCACAAGTGTATTTATGATTAGTAAAGACACCAGTGGAGTGCACCCTACACTGCAGCAACACAAACTGCTTTTCAAAGTACTATGAGAGCAACCTTCTACAAGCAGCATCATTCCTCAAGGAAAATGATTGTATTCAAGCTGCAGAGAAGTCTCGGTGCTGTGATATAACAAATCATCCCTATATGGCAAAGCATTTAAGCGCCTTCTAAAATTTAAGGTGTACAGAAATCTAACAAAGCAGGAACCAATACAGGTTGCGCAATGTACTACATGGAGCCTGTGGCTTCCCTCCAGGCTGAGACTATCAGGGACTGGAGAGACAGTATTTGAGTAACAATGTGCGGCCACCTAAATTTGATTCTGCCTTAAAAGGACAGGAAAGATCTGAGACACTGAAGCCAGGGGTCCCTGCGTTAGTGAAGGGGAGGAGAAACTTCTTAAACTGGAGCCTTGATTGACTCTGAAAGGAGAAATCCTCATTTTCCATCAACTGGAGAGCAATATTGGTTGGTTAATCAGCTGGAAGCTACATCTTTAACCGTTTAAAATGTTTTCCCTTGCTCCAACCTTTCTCTCTTTTTTCTCTAACAGGTGTTTAGAAGTCATTTGCAATGACTGCTGTGGATCAAGCTGAAGAGAAGTGGGACGCATCTCCCAAGACACATGAGGCATGCAGTGCTGTAACATAGGAGTTCTGGCAACAACTTCAAGCCTCTGCTAAAGCCTGGAGTTGCACAGTCCTGCTGCCCTGGCTGCATGAAGGACCTTGAATCTCATAGCTGCTAAGATGAGCAGAAGAGTGGGGGTACATCTGGAAAGAAGCTAACCTGAGGCTTAGGGTACACTCCCAAAAGAAAAGGACAATAGGGAATGGTTCTCACCATCCTGAAGGGCTGACAACCACAAGGATGAACCAGCCCTGAAAATAACCTGCCTTGCTTAAAGAATTTAAAAACCAGTGACAGAGTCAAGAGATCTTTACCTTGTCTGCTGCCAAGCAATAAATGAAATGCCCGACCTAAACCCCAGAGGGCTGCCAGGCAGCTGCCCACATCTGTGCTGCCCATGGAGCAAAGAGAACGCCTGCTAGATGTCTTTAAGCTGGTGCAATGTGGTTTATTACAATTTGTGGGTGTGCCCAAGTTTGTTGTTCAGCAACACTTTTTGATACGAGGGTACCACCAAGCTGTCAAAGCAAAAAAACACAGTTTTGGCTTGCAGCTCATTGCTAATAATTACATAGAAAAATTATGTTTCATCAGGTGCAAAAAGGTTGATCTTGCAGTTAAGGGGAATAAAAGTACACATGGGTTGAGACAAACCCTTTGTTTGAGACAGCTAGAGGCCTTTGCACCTACAGAGTGCGTATGGCATACAGGCATGTGCAGGAGGAAGGCAAAACAAAACACATTGTTGAAACAGTGACTAATAAAAGTAGTGCAAACTTCAGAAATGCAAGTGTTTGTCTCCTGACCCTAAAGTTCCCTTCTTGTTTATACATGGAAGTCAACCTCATAAGTACATTTTTCCACATGACTCCTGGAGCTAGGATCTCAGCCTCAAGACTGATTTCTTAGCAGGTTCTCTTTACAGGTGGTAGTAGGCACGTGGGCTCCCACAGAAGAATAACTTTTAGAAACTTACCACAATGAGTGCAACAACAGACAGTGTATAGTAGATTGAATCTCTCAAGAGGCTCCATGACGACAGCGCAACGACCTGAGAAAACAAGCAAAGAGAGGGTGTCAGCCAGGCCCTCACCAGCAGCTGCCACGCTGACAGTGTGTGCCAAAGCAAGCCTGTCGTTCTGTGTAAGCTGCCCGCACGTGTGCTAGGACATGAAGAGCAGACCAAGCCAGGAAACGCACTGATTTTTTGCAGCTGCTTGAGCAACAGGCAGTAAGGAGAGGAGGGAATGGCCCAATCTGAGGGGTAAAAGGTGTAAGGTCATGGGCTTCCATTGCGAAGTTGCCAACATGCTAAATCACACCAGTGCTGTCAAAGCCATGGAAGAGGGAATTGAGTCCCAAGTATTTATGGATGACAGAGGAGTTTCCCATGAGCTCAGCTGACTATTTGATATCCTTTTCCCCCCAAAGTCCCTCCTATACACAACAGCATGGAGCCTGCAGCAGCAGGCTGAGCTGGCCCCAGGTCTGGTCAAAGGCAGGTGCAGGGTGACCTGCCACAGAGGAGGCTGTGAGGGCTGCGGCTGGCGGCTGCCCAGGCAGTGGAAAGGGCTCAGCTTTACCCACGGGACCATTCTGGTCCAGCACTGACACTCAGCAATGAGTGTCCTAGTGGAGAACAGTCACAGGAGATGAACAGCCCTGTTGAGTCTCTGGGTGGTTCCCATCTGCTTCTTGTAAGAATTTTCCCCAACCAACCTGAACACTGAGCAAGAGTGCGAGGTATGCAATGATCCACTAGGCAGGGGAGTACCACCAGACACAGTCCCCAGCTGCTGCCTAGCAATATGGGTCATCCCCATCATTGTCCTACCACCACGTGCCTATGTACCCCTCAAGTGCAGCTACTGGCATCCATACGCTGGGTTTCCAGGATTTTTAGACTGCTGGAAAATGGGCTTGTCCTTGCTAAAAATGTCAGCTTGACCCAGGCTGACTCATTCAGGAGAGCAATAGAAGCTGCACTGCAAAACAAGAGTCTGACAGCACAGAGCAGCGAGATCCCCAGCACGCTGCTTGCCTGAACCTCAGCAGAGCCATGGCTTCACCCACTGCACTGACCGGTATCACTACAGCTCCATGTGCATTTGCACAGGCTTTGGGACAAATACTAAAGTTAACACTGCAGCAAAGCATTAAGAACAAACCCCAGGTATTTACACGCAACAGAAGATAAAATGGGATTGCTGTGAAGTTCACTTGACACCTTCCAAAACAGGACACACACACTCACACATGAAAGGGGGAGTGACCAGGTGGCTGTGTGGTTCTGAGTTACCAGCTGGACTTAAAACACAACAGCCACAGAAATGAGGAGAGATCACCACTATAGCCTTAATGAGCCTGCAATTCAGGTCTTAGAAGAAAGAAATACCAGTGAATAAGCTAGCCTTTAACTTCATTAATAGTATTCAAAAGGGCAGATTAAGAGCAGCCATGTGGTGGTAACATCTTCAGTATGATTGTGTTCTTTGCAGCCCTAGGAAGTCCCCTCAGTAGAAGCTTCTCCTCAACTGTTTATCTCCCACTTCCAGAGTGCATTTCAAACCCTGTGGCTCACATCCTTCACAGGTGTAAACTGCAGGGAGGCAGATGGCCGATATCTGGCACCCGAAGGTATACATGAATTTTCTGACCACATCCTTTAGCCATGCTCGTGCGTGAATCCAGTCAAACAAACAGTAACTTCATTTTCATTTCTATGATAGCTAAAGAAAGGTCCTATTTAAAAAATAATTCTGCAGACTTCTCTGCATATTACCTCTTACAATATTGGTTTTTATCAGAACTGCTGGCAAAACAAATGCTGTAAAAACATACTGACCATTATACTTAGGTCTCTGCAGCCTCTTAACACTATGGCTTTTTAAAGTGGATGTTATTTAGGTCCAGTGTAAAGTCCCTTTATGCAACCATTCGCATGTAAAAAACTCTTATCTAAAATAGAAAAGCAGGCCTTTAAAGTCCTTGTGTCAGATTAGATATATACCAACTGACAATACATTTCAGTGCATGTAGGGATAGACGAATGGAGATGCTTTATGATGGAAATTTCCAAATGCAGAAACCTAGAGTTGGGTTCATAATTCTATTCAGAGATCCTTAATTAAATTTCACATCTTATAGACAGTGGGCCCCTTCATTTTGATTGATTCGTAAGAGAGTTTGTAAAATTATAAAATTATTCCACTCTTACACAGCTTTTATGATGCAGCTTAAGGTCCTGTGCACAGCATGGATGCTGGTGGGGATTTTATAGCTATAAACTTGAGTTCTGCATAATAAAAATTACACTTCTGAAACAAATAACAAACCCCATATGAACAGGCAACCGCTGCTATTCTATCTAATGAACTCTCTCCTGGGTATAAGGGGTGTCACCATGCAGCACAGCATACCTGTGAAAGCAAGATGTCCTGGTTACTATGAGTCAAACCAGTATCTCTCCTGCTTTCTGATATTCTACAATACTTTTGAAGGTATAATCTTCCAGGGTATTTTCCTCAGACACCTGAATGAACATATGGAGGTCTAGATGCTTAAATGCATCTATTTAGCAGGGACCTGGTGCACAAGTGTCATAGACCAAGATGCTGGATTCTGGTGCTGATTTCAGACTGGATTGAAGGGAACATGCTCGTGCCTAGGACTTGTACAGGCTGCTCGCATTTCACAGCCCTAGTAGGTCTCCCTGATACAGTTAACTATGGGGCAATTAAATCTCAGCCCTCCTTAGGATGCAAGTCATTTAATGGCAGCCTTTGAACCAAATTATCACTGGGAAGAACAATCTGATACAGGGAAGCTGTGCACAAAAGGTAACTGTGCACCAAGGGTAAAAGCAGCAATTAGCACTCATGGGAAGTGCAGTACTTTCAGCCTGCTGACAAGAGCTGTGCAGCCTAAGTTGTGCCATATAGTTTTGCAGCAACCAAGGACTCCACAAAAATCTTAATGCACTGGAAACCACTTCAATTATGTTTCAGCAGACTAAGGCAGAAAGGAAACCAGGGATGCAACCAGCTTTGGTAAAAACATGATCAAATTTGAGTTTTAAATCAGCAATACCGTGACCCAGGAGAGTCAGTCCTTTGGGAGCCAGGCATAAGGAGGCAGCTGTAAAACCACTGACTGTCAGGTTATACGTTTCCTCTGTTCAGACAAAGTACCTGAAATTCAAACTTTCACCAAGTGCCTTAGCCTTACGTTGACTAATACACTACCGACTGAATCTAGCATCCCCAGAGCTGAAAGGAAGAGCTCTTTAGTCCAGGCTTAAATGAGAGCAACCCCCAACAAGTCCGACACAGATGAGGTCCCAACAGTGCTTGCTCACCTGCATGCCACAGCATCATTCCTATGGGTAAAACAACCTGTATTAGATACTTGGTTTCTCATCAGTAAACTTTCACCCTGCAAACTCTTATGTAGAACATTTACTACTCAGAATGCTTGATTCCCTTTTTAAAGGGCTGAAGAGCAGAGAAATCAAGATTTTATTATTCAGCTTGATTTCTGTGGTTCTCAACTCCTGAAGCAGCAGCCCCATGCAGCACATGCTATCTCCTCAATCTAACACACATGTTGATGAGCCACCAGGGACAAAATCAACTGAAAATCAGACACTGGCACCTGCAGCTCTTGGCATCCAAGTTAGCTCAGGACACCCAGAGCGTCAGTGGCAATACACCACATGCCCCATCCTAGGGCTTCACCATTTGTCCTCTATAAAATTGACCCTTCTTTCTCCTGCTCTTCCAAATGCTTTATCTCCCTTAGCAGCGTAGAAATTCTTCTGCCAACAACGGCCATGGAGCAGGCTGTTTTAAAGCCTGATACTCACCTGCTCTCCCCATTATGGTGGTGGGCCCGAAATGAAGCAGGTGAAGCAGAACATGGCTGCTGCTACCCTTGTAAGGGTGTTTGTGCTGCTGCTGCTAGCAAAGGCACGAGGCAGTCCACAGGGATATGCACTGCTGGATATTTTGTCTGCTCAGCTTTCCAGGGGAAGCATGTTGAATGGATGTGCTTAGGAACGTAAGCTAAGCACATCTGGGTTCTTCAGGGATCTTTCTCACTCTGAATTGTGCCAGAGCTTTTCCTCCTCTCATGGCCTGTTTCTTGCTTGACATTGCTGGGCTGAATGATCAGCTACGAACACTGCCAGGAAATGCTAGGCTCTGGAAGCAATCTTCCTAATCTTGTTTCTCTGTTACCCTCTGGCACAGAGGTCTGGATTTTCAGGTATTAAGAGCTAATAACTTAATTTGTTAATGAGGAGAGGCGGGAATGCTTGGGCAAAGGTGTCAAAGGATTAAAGTCAATCCCTGCGGTGATTAGCCTTAGAAGTCTACAGAGATCAACAGAGATGTACTGACAGTCAAGCCTGGTGGGGTCCCCTCCAGAAGGTGCTGTTGTCCTGACACTACTGTTAAGCACAACTCCACATCAGCCCTGTGATAATACAATAGGATCTCATGACAAAGCAAGATAAATAAGTAACTATGGGCCAGTGATACAGTAAGTAGTGAACTTGGGTGGAACCTGGGGATGGGTTTTCTGGGAAATCACGCTGGCAGTACTTTGTAGTTAATACATGCCTTATGCATTTGGAATGATAAAAATATGAAAAGGCCTCTACCTCAGGTACCAGCTCTCATCCTGAAGAGGATGGGAAGATGAAACCCAGCAGCACTTTACTTCCTCATGGATTGCAGAAATCAGTCCCCAGCAAAGCCCTGGTTTTACCTCCTAGCAACCAAACCCAACACTGCTTCAACCCACTGAGGAGAGACATGTCACAGCAGAGCCAATCAGCTGAAGTATCTGAGCCACACCTGAAGAAATCTAGGGAGGGAGAAGCTTCAGGGCACATAAACATTTTGCTGTTCACCCATTTGGATGCAAAACAGGCAGAGGTAGTGATGCTTCTTAGTATTGTGTGGATCCCAGTCCTCCTCTGTCCAAACACGACCCCAGTAACAACCCAATCAGCATTCCTTTAAAGAGAGCCTACTGGGCTTACACAGCCTACCACCACTCCAGTGGGCCCAGAGATTCAGGAAGAGAATTACCTACAGTCCACTGTAAAATCTCCACTTACTGATGGGTTTTGTTGTCATTAACTGCATTGGTAATAACA